TTTTAAGGTTTTGAAAATCGTTCACGAGCACAAAGAAAATTATATTTTCTATGAATAAAAATAAAATTACAGATTTATTATGTTATTTTTATTAAATTTAAGTCATTCTTAGCAACTGTTTCATCGGTCAAAACATTTCTTTCCTTCGATTTAATTAAAATTTGTTATGGCGAATGGGCTTTCACAAACATAAGTTGATGAAAAATATGAAAGCATAAGGAATATTGTCATTTTTAAAACATATATAAATTGTTTTTTTAGAATGTCTTATAACCACTTTTTATAAATAGTAATTTTTTTTTTGTGTAGAATGTTTAATAATTTAAATTTTTTGCGCGTGTAAATAAATTAATAAGTTAGTTGACAATTTTCATAAAACTTTTAATTTAACTGAGTTAAAAAAAAATAGGTGAACTGTTAACTTTAAACTTTTTAAAATATTTTCCATCAACTTAACTCAGTTAAAAATTATTATTAACTTACCCAGGCTTGCTTATAAGTAACACGAGTATATAGTATTATGACCAGTGGCGGTTAAATAATTTTATCACGGAAAAAGAGAAACGAGTGTCATATTTTAGAATGAATATTGATCACTGAAATATACTAATAAAATTATTTACTAATTAATTGATCTAATATAAAAATATAAAGATGTTAATACAAGTAAGATAAGTAGTAGGTATCTAGTATAAATAATGACATAATGGTATAGAAAAATAAACCATGGAGAATATATTTTATCCATCTATTGGATTGATCATGCCGATTACTATAACTCAATATGCAATAATTGGGTTTTTAACTCTTTTACTTACGTTTGTTATGTAAAATATACGTCCGAGCCAAATTTATTTTTATGATAGGTATAAATCGTCTATTAAATTAATAATTTAAATAGTATGTTTAAAAATAATCAAATATCTATCCTTGTTTTTTTTTTCAGTACCTAACTGATATTAACTTAACGTAGTATACATGTACAAGAACAAATACAATATTTTTGATAAAATTAAAAGATTTGACACAAAACTACCAGAAATGTATTTAACCATATGGCATATTCAATAAATTATTTACACTGTATTGTTGCACTTCAACAATCATTGCGAATCGTATTAAACTATAACTACAAATATGATATATATATTTTATTTCAGCCCCTCAAGGGCGTATTTAAGGGGGGCGAAGAGGGCATTCATCCCCCCCACGTCTTGTATTTTTTTTTTGAATATAATACATTGATTTATTTAAAAAATGTAAAGTATAAATAATTAGGAATATAAATTACTAGTCTATAATTGTAATATAATAATAAATTCAATAATATATCGTTTTGGTCATGGGTATCAATTTTTGTTTATCTTCTTATTGTATCCATTGATGAAACAATCAACAAATTTACTAAAATGAAAAAAAAAGAAATTTTGAATTTTTTATTTAACTAATTATCAACCTTATGTTTTCTACTTAGATATTTGTTAAATTAAGTTACTTATTTTAATTGTTTTTTAAAGTTTTTAAAAATTAATTAATATGTAATATTACTTCTATGATTATTTGTTGTTTTTTTATACAGAATTCAGACTGAAGGTACAATTTTAATATAAGAACTATTTGTGTTATTATTAATACTTATTTTATACGCAGTAGGTTTTAAATATATTTATTAAATAAATATTTAATTCAATTTGGTACTTGTACTTTTATTTATTCACTCAAATGAACAACAAACATGAGCTGTAGATAATGAACCAGGGGCGCACCTAGGAATTTTTTAGGAGGGATCTAAAATTTTTATTTTATCTTTTCTCTAATTATAATTATAGTTTAATTTAATACCAACAAATTACTGTTAATAACTATAGTAATAGTCACAATAGTTATACACACCTCACACATATTCTTCACAAAGGATTACTATAATAGGTAGGTACTATAATTTGAAATCAATTTTTATTTGGTAGTAAAATGTTATAAAAAAATACATTATTAAATTAAAAATAATAAATAATATTAAAAAAGCAGTATAAATTAAACATGGTTTATACATTATAGGTATATTATATAATCTATAAACTTTGTATATTGAAGATAATGGGAAATTAAAATACATAATGTACTATTTACTATTAAACCATCGAGTATGTAGAAATTTCAATGGGGGTCCGGACCCCCCACCCCCTTGGGTACGCCACTATAATGAACTGTAAATTATTTTTAAGTTTGTATTGAAGAAAAATTAGATTCCCCCCCATGGCCTCAACTAAAATACGTCCTTGCAGCCCCTATTTTTTAGTGAATCCCGACACAAAGAGTGTAGTCCAAAACTGGAAGTATGAACTACGGATTCGAGAAATGTGTACCTACTAAAAAAAATAATTAACACTACTATGAAGGAATTTTTCAGGAAACTAGTTTGAGCAAGACAGCTGATGAGGACTTAAATATATCTATTCAATTTTAAATTATATATCTCACATTAAAATAAATAATTTATAAATAGTTTTCAGATTCATAACAAACAAAAGTAACCTAATTATAATGTGCAATATGATTAATAAAAAAGAAATACTAAACATTTTTACTGACATTGTACTAAAAATTATAATCATATGGAAGGGAGTAGAGAGAGGCTATGTATCATATCATTGTACATTAAAAATGTGTAGTACGAATTTTTATGAAAAATAGGGGCCGTTAAATTTAACTTGTTACACTTGATAAAAAAATATGTTACACATTGTATTAATCTTATAGAATACTTTTTATTCCAGTTTTATCATGCGCGTCACAAAAGCCAATTAAGTAGATTTACCTTAAAAGTAGGGTGTCCAGACGTTTCAGTTTTCTACGATTGTCCCGATTTTTTAATGTTGTCCTAGTGTGCCTCACACTTTTAAACGGGACTTCGATTTGTCAAGAATTAAAATATATAACAAAAATATTACATATTATGGAAATCAATTATTTATTTATGTACATTATCATTCATTTACTCTTTATTTCCTTTTTCGTTATATTATCATTCTTATTATTATTATTCACTTTTATTTTATTTATCAGTTTTTGTTTAAACCACGATTAAAGATAAGATCTTATCTTTAATCGTGATTCAAACTGATGTATTTATAAAATATTTATTTTTTAATTTTTTTTTTGTTTTCCCTCAGACAATAAGTGTATTATAACGTAGGTAATTGACGGCTTAATATTGTATTTTTCTATATAATTAATGATCCATCGATTTTATCGAATATTTTGGTATTAATATAGATTATTTAGCTATTGGCTATTATAATAGTAAACATACTAGAGTACCGGTAATCACCAACCTATGCATTCATCTACAACTAATATCATATCAGTGGCGCCGAAGTACAAAATTACATGTATGGCATTGACCTCCGACCACCACCCACCCACCCCCACCACAACACACACAATCACATAACCCACTTAATAAATTTGAAACCTGTCAAACAATTTTCCACCCACTTTTATTTTTGATAAACTCTCTTATATTTTCCAACTAATTCGTATGTAAATATTAACATAAATATAAAATATAATTATATTTAATTATCTGCTAATTGCTATGATACCTACTACAAAATACAAACAAAATGTCAAAACGCAACCTTTTATATTATATTATATACAATATTAATAATAATTATGTCCTTTCGTAACAATATTATTATAAGTATTAAATATTTATTAATAAATCAAACATTTAGTTAGAACACTACTTTTAGCTGCAAATAACAAAATTACATTTTCATTATTAATAATTATATCTTGCTCACATGATATTTTCATTAAACTATCGAGACGATCTTGTGACATAGTTGTTCTTAACTTTGTTTTTATAAGTTTTAATTTAGAAAAAGTTTGCTCTACGCTACAGCTTGTTACAGGTAATGTGATAGATAATTTTAAAACTAAATATAAATTTGGAAAAATATTAGCTAATTTAGCCAAACAAAATAGTTTAAATAATTCCCTCGTACTTGCTATGTTATGATAAATAACTTTTGCAGAATCTTCTTCCGCACTATCATAACTATATGCGTTTAACTCTAGTGAATCTTCATAATCTTCAACTATTAAATTGTTGTTAAGATACTTAGGAAGTAAAATACTGTTTTCTATTTCAGTAAAATTTTTACAAAATTCAATATATTCTGTCAATAATGAGTTTTTATCGATTTATGAGTACATGGTACACAAAGCGTCAAAGGCATCACAAGGTACAATGTGTGGATTATTTTGAACTTCTCGAATACGTCTAAATGAAAGAAGGGATAAGTCTTTTAGAGGTCCTATATTGGTGCTTTCAAAACGTCCACTTAACTCTGCTAAAAGAATATCCATTATGACATTGTATGTATCAATTCTAAATTTTTTCATGGGACATGATATAATTTCATCCTGACAATGTTCACCTGAAATTAATATTACATTTTGAAATTAAGAACAATCATACTTTCTTAATAAATTTAATTAATAATTGATATTTATTATGAAAATTATATACACCTGATTTTCTTGGAACACGTTTGGGTCGACTAGATACAAGAGGTAAAAAGTCAACAATACTATTTTCAGCAAACTCATCAGTCCTTTTTAGTAATCTTTTAAACGAATCATCATTTCTAAGTTCTTTGATTTGATGAATCACATTATTTAAAATATTTGTGGCCATAAGCATATCCATATCTTGGGACTGCAATTGGCGGGTGACAGGTTCAAGTATTTGAAATATAGTTTTGAATAATAATGCTGTTAGAAGAAAACGTTGGGATGTAAGGTATGATATCAAACCACTACAACTCGCACCAACTACTACATCAGCAGATCCTTCAGAATCTTTAATTTTATTTAATGTTTTTAAAACTGCATTGTGGAATTTTAAAACTACATATAATGCTGCCGCATGAGAACTCCAACGTGTTGTACTTACTCTCTTAACAGCATGCAATGGATTATTTTTACCTTCCATATTACCACATTCAATTTGAATTTCTCTGAAAATCGTTGCTCTTTTTTTTTGAACACCAAAGAAAAACATAGAGAGTTTCTAAATTGCCAAATAAATCAACTGCGTTGGAGTTGCATGATACTGCTTGTTTTACTACCAAAGCCAAACGATGGGAGTGACACCACACAAATAATGCTTGTGGGCTTTCTTCTTTAATATGAGCTTGGAGGCCATTATAGTTACCACGCATGTTACTAGCTCCATCATATGACTGACCAACCAGCTCTTCTTTCCAATTCAAATTTTCAGCTTCCATTACATTTACAAAAATGTCATACAATTTTTTTCCAGATGTAATTGGTGATTCCTTTACTGCTAATAGTCTTTCATGAACCTCACCAGTCACTTCATCAGCATATCTAAAAAATATATTAATATAACATAACAAAACATATTAGTTAAAATAATTGTATTTATTTACCGTATAATAAATGATATTTGTTCATTACGAGATGCATCAAATGTAGTATCAATCGATATGCTAAACATTCTTACAGTTTTAATAAATGATCGTATTTGAAATGAAATATCTTCGGCAATAGCTTCAATCAACTGATTTTGTCTTTGCCATGAAATAAAAGATGTTTCACGTTTTCCATTTTGTTGAATACAGTTTATGTGTTCCGCTAATGGTCCGGAATTTTTAGACATTAACATAACCAAGTCCTTAAAATTACCTCGAGAATTTGAAGACCAATCCTCATAATGCCCACGAAATGCCAGGTTATGACGTCCCATGTATATTACAATGTCTATAAGCTCTAATAAAACTTGTCTATTCATTGCTATCTGAGTTTTTCTATTATTTTCAATTGAAGGCAAAATTGGCACATTGTTTTGACGTAATTTACATTTTAAAGATGATGTTACATGATCTGGAGTTAATTCATGTCTTTGAATAGCAAATGAACAATTTTTTCATTTATTAAACCCTTCTTTGGTCCAAGATTTTTCTAAATTATTATGCAAATTGGTTCCAAAAAGCATGCAATGAATACAAAATATTTTATTTCTGCTTAATGAATAAGACAACCAATCACGATGGCATTTTGATTTATCAGACAAAATTCTGTAATAATGTTTATCATTAAAACTTCTTTTTATCTTTTCATTGTTAATTTCATAAGGAAATATTTTATTAGGTAAATCATCTTGTAACGGTTGACAAGGACCAAATTTTAAGATGTAATCTTTAATTTCCGGTGACAAAATAGACATTTTAGCAAAAATTGCTGGATCATTTTTAATTATATCCATATCCATATCATCTAAAATAAAAGTTGACAGTTCAAAAATTATGCTAAGTAAATAGACTCATGGTAACATATAAATTTTATTTAGAACTTTTTTATTCTAATGAACTATCAAATAAAATTAAGTATCAATATTAAGAACACAATACACATATTATAATGATTAACCTATTATAAAACTGATAATAAACATGTCGATTATGTTTGCAATAAGTCATTTATGAAATTAGGTCTTTTAAAGCCCATATGTATATGTTTCTACGATAGCTCAGCGTCAAAAACTATATTTCTCATTAGTTAGATCTCAAATAAAATATGCTACATTAATATGGTTAGGTTATGGCACACTGACAATATTAGACAATATACATGCCTTTCCTTAATTCAAAATAATTTTTTATGATATCTGTCATATAATTGTAATATGAAAAGAACCCCTCAGTCAGGAATTAGGATATAATACAATTGGTAATTTATTTAAAATTGATTCTTTAAAAAACATAAAATAGCATTAAATTTAAGATTCTTAATCAAATTATTGCATAAGATGACTTATTGTGTAGAACTTCTTGAAGAATTAAAATTTAAGGTAAATACAATCAACTCCAGAAATAAACCTACATTTTATCTGTCAAATTTTAAAACTAAATATTTGTCACATAGCCCTGCTAAAATTTTAATGTCTGCAGGTTACAATGTATTACATTTTGATTTGTTTCCATAGATACCTACTACTTCTGATAAACATTTTTTTTTTTTTTTTAGTGTTATTTAAATAATACTTACTAAATTAATTATTAGTTTTAAATGAATTTTATTTTCTTATCTTATTATTATAAATTATTATACCTATGTTTTTTCTTTTAGCTAAATAGATATGTTAGGTACCCCCTACATAATATTTGTTATGCCTTTAAAAAAATGGAAAAAACATGTTATTTCGCTGTTCGTACATTACTATTACTTTATCTTATAGATTATTAATTATATTATTATTTTTATCACTATAGGCAAAGGTACAAAAAACTAAATATTCAAAATATATAAATAGGTACATAAAAAATGACAAATAATTTAAGTACATACCTTTATTTTGCAAACATGAGCTTATCTCAGTATCTTTTTGAATTTCACATTCAACCAATGATTCTTTATTAACTGGAGTACTTTGGTCTTCATTTAAATCATTGTTCACATCAAAAATAGCTAAAAATATGTATTAAATTAAAGCTAGTTCTAGTTGTATATTCAATAAGGATATTAATCATCAAACGATTATGAGTTATATAGGTACATATTCACAATTAAGTATATAAATACTTAAAAAAAAGTTGTTTAATATGGATAGGCACATACCTTTATTTTGCAATCATGAGTTTATCTCAAGACTAGTTGTATATTCAATAAGGTAATTGGTTATCAAAAAACTATGTGAGCATGTAATATGTACAAATTATCATTTGTTAATGTATAAGTAGGTACAAAAATGTAAGTACATAAAATAAAATCATATATAAAATCAGTCATCAGAAAAATCTTTTTTAACTAATATATTTTTTTTTACACATATAAGCATTTTTTTTACTTTTATATACTCCAAATTAACAGTAGTGGGATAAATTAATGTAATTATCAGGACTAGGATTTGTATGAAATAAAAAAATTGTAAAATATGCAAAAATATAGATTTAAATTTTTATAAGATAAATACAAAAATATAGTAATAAAAATAAAAAAAAATATTTATTGAATTACATCAGTGGTTGGTTGTTTGTCTTAATATAATATAATAGAGAAATAAAATAAAATAATTCAAAATAAAATTTATGTTTGATAAAAAAAATCAAGTTTTATACTTTTGTTGTATGCCAGATCGGGTAAACTCGGTAGGGTCCGTTGGCATTACAGTAACGTTTTTTAAGTTCGCACTTTAGAAAAAAAACACCAAGAGGAAATTCTCAATTCAACAATTTTATTAAAAGTATTTATTTTATTGAGTCGCTGAAAATTATAATATAGAAAGAACGATTTTACAATTGCTTGGTTGTTACACGAATGTCAGCATTTGTCCCCACATATTAACATATACATACTTAACAATAATAATAATAATAAGTATAATAATAATATACTATAATATGCTGTGGTGCACATAACACTTTTATCAGCGGGGCTAGAATTAAATACGAAATATACTATAATACATTCATTTTTTGCATTCATATAATTGAAATATGCAATAATATTAATTTTATTCAATAAATGCAATAATATCCATTTTATCTAAAATATGCAAAAACATGCAAAATAAAAACACCACCATTTATCTCATCATGAGGTGATTCGTGGACATTATTGACAAAATCAATATTCAAAAGTCGCATAAGAAATCATGCTGTTGCATACATATCCTAACCCTGGTAATAACTAATAGAACATAGCCACATAGGTAGGTTATAGTACAATAAGTTGGTAGTACAGAACTTATAAGTAAAAACTAATCATATTAAATATTATAATTAAGATCAGTATTAATTATTTAAAATAATACATATTTATAATATATCTGTATTTTTATTTTAAAACAAAATAAAACATTTAAATAAATTATGTAGGTACTTACTATTTTTTACAGCAGTAATTTGGTGAATCAATTTGCTTTTTTTATTCTTGTTTCCAGAAAAAAACGATTTTATATCATGCGAGTTTCTTTTAAATTTTCGTACTTTACATGAGTTAATATGTCTATTCCAATTTTTATCGTTCATTGATGAACTTAATTTCCCGCAATTACATTTACAAACAGAACTCATAGTTTTTGGTATTAAATAAATTACTTTATAAGGTTGATTTGTACTTAATATTCTTAGACAATTATAATTTTTAACTTTAAATAGTAGTGGTTAAAAATTAAAAATTCTTAAAAGTTAAATAATAAAACCAATTAAATAATATAAATATATGTCACAGTCTTTTTGAATTATAGCTGGCTTATTAGTTATTACACTAAACTGAAGGTACAGTTGATTTTCAACGATAGTGTATCATAATTTATAGGAATTTTTAGCTATTTATAAACACTATAATGGACTAAATGTTGCATTTTTGATAACATAATAGACGCTAATAATGTAATATACGTATGTTAGTGGAGTGGGTGGTCGCCAGTCGGCGAATGTCTATTTTGGTTGATGGTTTTTATTTTTATTTTTGTTCTATCCAAAATGCACCATTAGTTGTTACTGTTCTTACTAATCAGTAATGATCGTATTATTATGAACTATTTGGTGTTAATTGATCAACGAAATAATGTATATGTAATACCAAATACTCGAAGTGGGCAATACTACTTAATAATTTGTGATTCTATTTCTATTGTCATCATTTTATTTTCCTCTGGACCCCCCCCTTAAATGTTTATATATATGGCAGCTGCCATACATAAACATGGACTTCGGCGCCACTGTATCATATACTATATAGACACAATGTCAATCCGACAGGGTTTTTTGTCAACTAATTTTAAAAATTTTCATTCATAATAATGCAGATAAATATACATTAAAAATAATTCTTCATCAATTACATCTCTTTCCCACTACCATCACTGTATTAATTATAAAAATTGCTACATTCAGCTACTCGTCGACATAACATATGCTTAATAAAATTTATGGAAATATCACTGCTTCTATGCAGAATAAAACATTATTAAACACTAATACAAGTAGTATTACTCGTACTTCCGTATAAAGTTTTTTAACTTATATTATTTACAAAGCTCTAATTATATTAATATAAATTATATAATCTATGAGAACACTTAATTCGGTATATAAATCTGAAATATTTGTTCATTACTCGTTATGAAAAATATAAGTTAAAAACAACTTCTTTATTTCACAATAAAATTATTTTTATTTTATTTATAGACATTTATAACTTATATTTGAAAGTATTTAAGGAAGGGTTAATATTACCTATAATTATTATAAGAATATTAACAGGTACATCAAGTGCATATATATTCTTACACACAATATTTTGTTCACACAACATATTTATCATGTTTTTTATACAATAAATAATTTGTTCGCACAATACAAACTATAATAATTATCTTCTTACACAAAAAAAAAATATATATATATATATAAATAGATAAGACAGTTGTATGTTACTGATGTATGATTTTTGGTGGTACCAAACAAATTTATAATAATAATACTATATTTTATTGTAATAAATAAATAAAACTAATATATTCAAACAATTTCTTATATAAATAAAACATACATAATTTAATTTTTAGACAGAGAAACTTATTAACATTTAATATTATAATAATACCATACTTTAATAACATAATTATCTGTTGATAAATTTATTTTTAATTAAATACATCAATTATAATGATGACAATAAAATACAATGCCAAATACTTTTGTATGTAATTACTGAGATCCACCACATTAAAATTTAGTGACTATGCACTGGTAAAATAACTCACAAAGCCTTATATTTTTAAACTTACTTTTATAAATATTACAATTTTAAGTACTTATGTCTAATAATACAATAGTTATCTACGTTTATGATAATAGTACATAAATGGATAAATAACCCGGCCCCTGACTATTTAGATTCTGTTTTCCTATTACAGTAGATTCCGCTTAATGTGGACAAGTTGGGACTAAACCCATTTGCCTAAATTAAGTGATTAGCTATAAAAACTGAACTTAATTAAAAAAAACCCAACATTTTTAATATTGAAAAGTTTTTATATTGCACACGTAAGACATAAAAATGGAGAAAAAAAATGTTGAATTAAATTAATAGAGAAATAAATATACAAATTAATAATTAATAATATAATCACTTTATTTTTTTTGGTATTGATCTTGATATCACTTCTTTACATTAAATTAAACTCATAAACTCAGAACAAAATCCCATAAGGGTTTAAAAGTTAATGTTTTTTATTACTTTTGATAAACACAGTTTCATAGATAGGATGAAACCTAATTATATTAGCTGTAATACATATTCTAACGCTATAATAAAATAAACTAATTCCCCATAATATGTAGTTTTTTAACCACTTTGTTAGTTTAAATTGGATTTGGGACCAGACCACTTTGCTCCTCGCAAAACATGGATGCCCATATTAATGGATGCCAACATGAGACAAAGTCCACTATATACCTTTAAAAAAAATTAAAGCAGACTTCCTAATTAGTAAAGTAAGGAGCTGCCAAGAACGGCAAAATTAAGAGAGCAGTAAATTTTGAAGTCATTTTTGAAATATTTCATTGGAATCAAAATAAAAATATAATCTTTAATTTATATATATTTTACCAAGAATAATTTTAATTTTTTTTCAATCTTATAAATATTGTACTTATATTAAACCTATTTTTTATTCATTCAATTTATAGTTATTATACGAAAAAATAATCCACATGTCATAATAACTGTAACTTCTGAAATTAAAATAGTGTCATTAAGAATTGCTATGTAAAAATATTTATTATTAGCCTAATTGCTTTATAAGCCTATGATTATAAATAAGAATATACACGGTGTTTCAAAAGTCTTCATCCAATTACGAACTAATATAGTTCGGCAACGGTTAATCACAGGTTAATGACCGATGTATTAATGGAAAGATTAGATAACCAAGTTTATTTCAAGTTATCTATTTGATAAATTTAGTACCGCAATGGTTAGTGAACTAGGAACCGTTAGTTTGTTTCGTTATGATGACTCCGCAACAAAAAGCGTTTTGCGTCTTACGTTTCAATAAGTGCGAGTCGGCATTAACCGTTCAACGTGATTTTCGAAGAACTTAGGGAACTGAAGCTCATACTGCACAAAGCATTCGACGTTGGCACCAAACGTTCCAAGAAAGTGGTTGTCTGTGTATACAGACACACTCAGGTCGATCTCGTACCTCTGACGAAAACATTGAGCATGTTCGACTGTTTCGTTCGAAGTTCATCCCTGGCCACCACGTTCCCTTGACCTCACAAAGTGTGATTTTTTTTTTATGAGACTACATAAAAGATAAAGTGTATGAACCACCATTACCTACAAACTCGGAAGAGCTTAAAATCAGAATCAAAGATGCTGTCAATGCCGCGACACTAGAAATTATCAGCAACATTTAGGAAGAATTTGATTACCCTATAGATGTATGTCGGGCGGCCGGTGGAGGTTATATTTAACATTTGTAACCAAAGTAAATAAAACTTGACTATATATATATTTTACTTTATTTCACCCTTATATCTTCATTTTTAATATAATTATAAATTTTTGAAATTGGATGAAGACTTTTGATACACCGTGTATTATAAAAAAAAATTTATCGATTCACTTTATTTTCAAACTGTTATTTTAATTTTGTTTTATTAATCATTTAATAATTTGTTAAAGATAGTCAGCAGGCCAAATAACTAAAACCAAAAAAAAAAAGTCAATAATTTAAATGGACATTAGGTACATATAATATTTAAAATATTTTAGAAGGGTATCATAACTTGTTTTCTTACAATAGGGGAGCACATTTTTAGAACCTATAACCGTAAAATAATTAATTTTACTCTGTATACATGTTTTTAGAAATAGCATAAATTCCATTCGTCCGTATTATTTACATCATTGTTTCCCAACTTTTATGCTAAGGCAGCCTATTAATGTCCTTTTTGTGGGGTATTCGACCCTAGTATGAATTGATATAATAACATTACTAATTATTTTGTAGTAAGAAATGTTTTCATATACTTAAACGCAATACTGCAAAACTGATTTCTAATATATGTAGTTATATTTTGATAAATAAGATTTTTTCTGTCATTAGTTTACGAACAACGATCCATCAAAAATATTTTAAGATCTAATGTTGGAAAACGCTGTTCTACATTATCCATTAGATAAATTAGTAAATGAAGAAAATAAATGTCAGTTCTCGTAATACGTGACAAATGTTCTTTTAAAAATTAAATTAATAGACTTATAATTAAGTTTCAGATTTTATAAAACTATCAAATACTGAAATATGCACTATTTTATAATCTAAAAAATTTTAAAATAAACATAGGTAATATGTTCTATAAGCATGAAAAATAGCAATACAGTGAAACTCGAAGTCACAAGGGACCAAAAAAAAAAAAAA